CCTAAAATCTTAAAGAGGCTACAAACCAAAACATAACCTTTTATTTTTTAATAATTCTCACTATTTTAGTCTGTCTTATGGGTTTTAACATAAGATACAGCATTAGTGAAAACCTAGCAGCTGCTTTCTAAGCAGATGGCAGCTAGAGATCCAAAAAAAGATTTCCAACTGATAACATAGTCATCACCACCACATAATGACTGGCATGCTGGAATTTTGCATAGTTCATGTAAAGAGGTCATGTATTCATGTATTTTGTATTTGACAGATTAACCCCTTCCCCATGATGCAGAAGCATACTCAAGGCCCATTTACCAGCATCCAATCACCCCACGCACGACTCCGTGCAAAAGAGCATGACAATGATTGCTTCAATAATAGGGTACTCACAGCTGAGAAAGATTCAGGCCAGGCACAAGGCCACAGCAAGTCCTCAGTCTGTCACAGATACTCCCCCATGCAGAGATCTATGTAACAGTAAGACTTTGAGTATCAAGTTCCAGATCCCTGATCAACTATCCACATCTCATGCTTTGGGGTATGTTGTTAAAAACTAAATAAAGACTTAGGTTTTGTTCCCAACACTTTTCCTAGATTACATGTGAAAGAACAAAGAAGTAAGGATTCAAGCTGGAATTTTTCCAGGCATATGCAAAGTAATTAATCTCCCAAAATTCTCCTTATCTTTATCCATGTGGATCTAAATGCATCCTTGAGACATATGCCAGTCATTCCATATTAATCGGAAGACAGGACATAACAGTTACAATTAGCAAACTCAAACAAATTTACAGCCTTGTAGTGGTACCTGCCCTACATCTAGTAATTTACCACGTTTCATTGATGCCACACCTGCCATTCATTTCTAACTTCCACTTTCCCAACACAGGAGATCAGAAACAAATGACCGACATGCCAGTTCAGTCAGAAGGGCTGTTGCAACTGCCAACAATCCTCTGGCTGATTCAACCATTTCATAATTATCTTACATTTCAGTGCACTGAAACTCAGCCAAAAGGCCATCATATATATGTCTCAGTCCCTACCACAAAAGCAAAATCTGAAGACCTGGAAATATTATGCCTCTATCAACAGCAATATAGAAAGCATCCAAATTCATATTATTTTGCTAACAGTCCCACACTGAAGATTAACAAAAGGCAATTTGAGGGGTTGCCAAATGAAGCAACCCTCAAAATAGCTGAAGTTTCTGTTTATTCTACTACTTGGAGAATGCAGAAAGAACCAAAATCTACAATAAAATTTACACATCCATTCTTGCAGCTTTCAAAGCTCTCTAGACATATCAGTAAACACTCATAGTAAATTCTGTAAGAATCTATGCAGATTTAAAAAGCTGTGTGAACTCTGAATAATTTGCAAGATATTTCTGATGTTTTGTCATACTGTTTCCATTTGCTAACTTAAGAAAGAACAGATTAAACACTTTGCATTTTAAAGATTTTTTACAGAAAGATCTACTAATTCTTTTCCTATACATTAATGCCCTCCTGAGAAGCATAGCTTACTCCGAGGAAAGACACATTACTTCCTTATTAGCTTTTATTAGGCAGCAAATCCAAGTTACAGGTTGTAACCTGCTCAATTCAGAACATAACCAGAATGTTTGCATCTATACACTAATAACTATAAAAATGGGTTTTAGAAATATCGGTAAATTCTGCCTCACAAAAATCACAGGTATATGCTGTGAAGGAGACAATGAAGTGACTTGTGCAGTGCCCAACAGAATCAGAAGCACAAACCATACATAAATAAAATGCTGTATGCCCTTGCTTTAACCTTCATTGTAAAGCCTTACCTTGGTTCTGCGATTTCTTGCCACTTCTGCTGGAGCTGAAGTCCCACTATCACTGCCTTCTGCACCCCGATCAAATGTGGGCTGCACGTGGACATGTGCAGTTTATCTCCCATTTTGTGACCACTGCCTAAAGGATTTGACTTCAAATTACAGAGTCCTGCGGCTGTCAAGCTCAAAGGGCACTTCCCACTCATAGGAATCTTGCTTTATTTGAGGAAGAAATTAAATGTGTGAATGAAAGGAGTACTCTATTTCTCCTTAGCTGGTAAATACAGGATTTAACCTAATAAACACTTCTCTAGGGTAAGGACATCATCCCTTTGGTGTTTTGTTTCTTCTTTTACATCCACAGGGTTTCTCTTCCCCTCTCTTTCTCACATATTCAAGATGATAAAAGCTTCAGTGAGCACAGCTACCAGTATTCCAATTTATTCAGCAGCAACCCCTGTGGACTGCTAACAGCAGACTGCAATTCTGCTTGGATTGTAAGGGGTAGATAAGCAATTCCACCCTTCATCTATCACTGTCAGTGCCAGTAAGAGAGCAACTTTTACCTGTAAGATGTCAAGCAGGGGAAAAGATAGAGAATGGGGGTGGAAAAAAAGCAAGGGGCAAAAGGACAGCAGAAATAGAGAGGACACAGGTCCATTAAGAGCTCTATGTGCAACTCCATGCAGAAGTAAGTAGGAAATAAGGGAATGGGACAAAGGACCAGGGTGCTAACAGGAAAGCAGCAAACAGAGGAGAAAGAAGATGGCCAGATTCCAAGCAGAATTTTTCAATAGCAAAGAAAATCTCACTTCCAACAAAATCTATACCTTCCATTACACTGAAGCCAGTGTAAAATGGTAGAGATGTTTGATACCTCAGTAAATGCTGATGGATACCACTACATTACAGCCATGATCCATAAATCTCAAGTACATCATAATGGAGCTTTCACATACAGGTCTGTCAGTAAACTGGGACAGTATTACAAATAGACAACAAAGGATAATGCAAAGATGGCAAAAATGGAACAACACAGAGACAAGTGCATTTCTTGGAGGATGGAGTGGAAGGCAGAAGAGATGAAAAAGCAGGTAAGCTATTTAGACGTAAGCGATGGAGAACATCAATAACCACACACTTGTTTTATGTGATGGAGGATTCAGGAACAGAAAACAGTAAAAGCAATAATGAGACCTGGGATTAGCTCTTCTTTTCCTTTTCAAAGGAACCTCAAGTAGTCACTCCATCACTACACTTCACTACAGTCATCATCTACAATTAAAGTCTCTGCCCATTCAGGCTAGAGGAGTCCCTTTCAAATTTTTATCATAGAACAAAATGAGGTTTAGGTATATATAAAATATTCATTTGATTTTGCTATAGGTACTTATTATTTTTATGCTATTTACTTGTCTGGCAGATACGTCACATAGCTCCAAACACATAAAATGTATAATTGACACTAGAAAAAGACCAAAGAAGCTGCCTTCTAAGCAGGCACTACCTTGAGGTTAAAATAAAACTTGTAAAAATTTGCTTTCAAACAACTCTACTCTTGGAATGTCCAATTTTATAACCCAAATACAGATGCACTATTGACTATTCACTTCTTCCCAAGCTTACTTAGTACAGTAAGGAGAGTCTGTACTCCACAGTAAACAATCTAATGTGCAGCCAAGCAAAGTTTATATCCTGGAAAAGTATTGTTTGTTAGTGATTATGTGCTTTCTAGCAATGCAAGATCTTCCAGAGAGATTGGATGGAGGGAAAAAGCCAGGAATCTTCACAGGAAGCTTCACATCAGCCTTTCCAGCTCTATCCCAAACCCACTGAGTTTGACTTGGACTGCTTAAGGGAGCAGTTTCAAGATTAAGAATAGGACACAGAAGTGGTTTAAGAGTAGTCAAGGGAGATCATAGTAAAAGTATTTTTAAAATTATTAAAGCCACATACCATCCTACTGCAGTGGGTATAACAATGAAGAGGGGGGGAAAGGAACAAAATCGTGCAGTAATAGTAACAAAGCAACAAAGAAATGATTGAGCAAGAAGAGAACGCCCTCTGGGAGAACACTACCATAAACAAAAGCAAGAAAACGCATGGAAAGTGCAAGCTGCATGGAAAGCAAGGAAGTGCAGGAAAGGGTGACACACCAAATGTTGACCTAGGCTGAGAAGAAATGTTGCTCAGCTCCCACATGGGACCCTAGAGGCCTCGCAAACAGCCTATTTTTAAACCCACTGACCAGCCCCAAACCAACAATCTGACGCTCAGGGAGCCTGTGGCCGGTGTACAAGCAGCCCTAGCACCGAACACCGCGGGGGGGGGCAGGGCCTGGGGCAGCCCCCATTGGCGCTCCGGTCTGACCCCAGCCCCGAGCCCTGAGGAGAAAAGCAGAGCGGATGGACGAGATTCCCGCAGCTGGAGCCAGGACACAGCCCCGTGTCCCCTCCCGGGCAGGGAACGGGCCGCCCCCCCACCTCCTCCGCCATGGCGGCCCCTGCCC